CGGAGCAGAAACAAAGGTGTTACGTTTATATTTTTGTTGAGTGTGTTTACAACGGTTTCTAGAAGGAATTAATGTGATGTAGGTTGTACTCTGGGTCCAAAAAGGCCTGGTGCTACAGTTTCAGGATCCAGAAGATTGTCAGATCAGAGGAAAGCTTCAGACGGCAGGATTTGAGGTTTTTTCCTTGATATCCCACCTCTATTTGGCAAAGAGCAATACCACTGACTCTGCTCACTTTGCAACATTGAAGTTTTATCTCCACAAAAAACTCAAGCCTGAAGGAGTTTTGCCATGTGGTCGAGTTGCTAGTGCTAACAGTTAGCTTCTACTAGTTAAGACGTTCTCTCCTGTTTGGCTGGATGCTAATACAACAACAGCCTTCCTCGTCATGAGTCAAGATGGGTGAGTCCATGAATCTTAAATGACCGTGTGATGTCACACTGTTTGGCTTTTCAAATCCTAGAGTTTCACCATCTACTTTCTTTCAGAAGCTAATGCAGGAGATAGGCGTAGACCATTTTTTATGTTCAGCCTGCATGAAAAAAATCAGTGATCGATTATAATCAGAAATAATTATTAATAAATGTTTTTTCAGAGAACCACACCTATAAGAAATAAGACTTAAAATTAAATCTGTCTGAATATTTGTCAGGGTTCAGGATGTAAAGAAATGTTTGGCATGTTCGCAAAAAAAACTACGTAAAGAAAATGAAGACAATTTTAAGCAAAAAAAAAAAAGAAATTGTTACAAATCTTTTATTAGGATATTCAATATTTTTTTATTTTCTGGTGATTTGCATTTTCTTTTATTTTACAGTTGTTAATGTGCAATCATCGTTGATAATGTCGGGTCACAGTTAACAGGGCTTTCACAAAGTCATCATTGGCACTTTGAACACAGAAATGAGGAAGAGGAAAATGAGCGGTACAAGAGGTGCTACGGGGTTACAGAGGCTAAAGAGCAGGGGCAAGGACAATCAATGCACAGGTTGTGAAGAAAGCGCCAGTTTCTGGGTAAATATATATATACGTCATGCTGCGAGCGCACAACAATCTGATCTCTATGTGGGTCTATATATAATGTACAGTATTTATCTATACATGTATATAACCATATTTATATATGTACTATTTAATGACAAAACACTCCTCATGCTGTGCCACATCTTCAAGTGTGGAGGTCTATAGGTTTTGTGAGGTTTAAAAACACAAAAATTACTATTTCCTTTGAATGTGTCTGAAAGAAACATAATAAAATGAGCACAAAGCAACACACACAACCACATTTAAAGATGAAGATTGTGAGATGGAATTTTGAAAACGGCCTAAAACCGTCACCGTGTACCGTACCTCTCACGCGTTACATTCGTTCAACTGACGCTAAAGCAGTTTGTTAATAATCGAGGTCTAATAATGCTTTACTTGGTGCAGTGTGGAGATTTGTGCATGTGGGTTGGGCTGTTGCGTCTAAAAAACCTTGTCAGAGTAGACGCTGACTCACCGGTGTTTAATCAACCAATTTGACTGTTAAAGCTTCTTCACAATGGGACATTTTTTTTAAATGACAAAAAAAGAGGTGCTGCTTGAAGTTTATGTGACCAAAACACAGTTTTGCCTTTTCTCTGAAACGTCTGACTTGACTTGTGGAAGTGAAACAGCTTGAAGCATAAAGGACAGGAAGCTTAGAACAGTCTTCAAAAATGAGATCAGTGAGGTAAACAGGGGGAGGGGCTCCCGTGTGGCAGCTACAGTTAAATGAGGTTTTGTTAGTTATCATTTCCTTAATGAATACTCATAAGGTACTGCATTTATTTGTTCCATCTAAGTCAAGTCACCCTGTAATGAAATGATAAAAACAAAGGGCAAGTTAGAATGACGATACTCAAACTGTATTGGAAAGGAAACGTGAATTCTTTTTTGCTCACGCTTAGAAAAGCAGAACCATTTTCTCTTCATCTGCAGACACTTGTCCGTGGGTGTTTTAAAGAGACATTTCAGCCATTTGGATGTGTGTTTCTGTGTGAAAGTTATCCCCTACCCATTTATTGTTGGACAAGAAAAGAGTATTTCAAGTTTTCTTCCACTGTTGAAAAGTGAAGCCTTGGAAACTGTCTGCTGATGTTTGTTTTTTAGTCAGACAAAATGTTCTGTTCTTTTACCTAGGTTCCAGCAAGAAGGTGCTTGTTTTGCTTCAGTCTGTGTTCATATTCCATTTGCATGTTTGGAAAATAATAATAATATAGTTAGTGGTTATACATAGTTTCCTGAAAACCCTGTATTTAATGGAACAGTGATTATGTCCTATAGGACCGAGTGTAGTCAACATAAACATGAATACATAGATGCTCCATTGCACGCTGGAGTGCAACAGTGTTGCCACCATATTGGATGGGTCTCCTGACTCTCGAAAGTCAATGCAGTGGGCAACTACGCCCATTTTTGTGCAGCCTATGGTTCCAACAATTGGCGTACTATTGAAAACAGATCTTGTGGCATTAGTATTGACTAGTTGCCGACCGATAAATCTGGCCGTTATATTCAATTTTTTCTATATTGGCCATCAGCCGAAATTTGCTAAAACGTATACATGTATCGGCCTTAACTCATTCACTGCCATTGATGACAAAAGTCATCATTTTAAATCCAACCGTTCACTGCCATTGACAACTAAAGTTGTCATTCGCATTTTTTTTTTTACTGTGTGGGTATTGGAGCGGGCCCCCGCACTGAGAACAAACATCCCAGCTCTAAAGCCAATCTTCATCCACATACGACACACCAGGGGCGGATTTAGGACTGAAGATCCGGGGCTCAACACACACACACGTGCACGCGCACACACACACGTGACACGCACTAGTCAACATCATATATATTTGTCTTGTACCACATAATTTTTAATCTGAAGCTACATATTAAGTATATTCAGGGCATAATATTGTTCCTGTTAGTGTTTATTGTGAGACGATAGTAAATATTCCCTTTCTTTCTCCAACAACTTTACCTGATAGTAAGCTAACTTTAGGCAAACCAGCAGCACAACAAATATTTTCAAATAAGACTCACAAACCTGAGTCAACACCAGTCTCATCAAAGCTGGGGTTCTGTCGTTGTACTTTTTGTCTAAAAAACGTCCTTATGTCCATCTTCACACATGCGTTTCAGGCAGAAAGTGTAGAAGAAGCCGGCTGCTGAAGGGCGGCTTCTTCGGTGGTGAAGGCTCAGGCAGGCTGTATACAAACTACTGCCAGCTGCTCCCTCTCGGTTGGACTTCGGTACTGCATGTTACTTCCACGTTTGAGATCCGGGGCTTTTCATAAAAGACTCAGGGCTTGAGCCCAAGTAGCCGGGTCTAACGCCACCCCTGCGTCACACATGACCTGATCAGGAAGCAGAAATCCATGTGTTGGATCGTTTTGGGCCTCTGCTGTTAAAAAAAAACTGAGGCGCGAACCAGAATAGAGCTCCGGACCCCACGTGACTCTCAGTTAGTAGACGCCATAATGGCAGGTAAAAGAAGCTAAACAAACACGGATCGTTCGTAACCATGAACGTGAAAGGGACCGGCTTGGATTTTACTTCGTCGGAGTTTACTTCACACTTTAAAACCGAAGAAATCATTTTATATAGTCAGAAATTAAATAGACTAAACATCTCCCACCCTTACCGTGCCCCTGGGATACTTTTTAAAAACGCCAGACGCTGTTGGAGCAAACTTCTTACCGGACCTGGCCGGGGAACCCCTTGGGATTTACCCGGAGGAGCTGGCTCAGGCGGCTGGGGAGGGTGAAGTCTGGGACTCTCAACGCTACTTCCCCCGCAACCCGACTCCGGATGTGTGGATGAAAATTGATGGACAAATAACAGATTTACATGTAAGTAGTTTAAATAGAGTGCTGTGCTGTTTGAATGTATAAACTGAACGCCAAGAGAAATCACTAGTTTGATTTTTTTTCCGTGAATAAAATAAATATGTCAGGCAGGAGCGTCTCAGGATCTGTCTGAGATCTGTCTCAGTGAGACAGATAATAGCAATCCAAAGTGCTTTTTATGTGTGATCTGACAATTGATCAACCATTGCTTCAAAATTAAATACAGCTTAGCCGGTTAATTGCTGTTAACATAAAACACGTAAACGGCAGCACGCAGAACTCACGAGGCAACGTTTTACGTGATGTTTACTCGTTGCTATGAGTAATAAGACAGAAAAAGCCACGCCAAAATAAGTTTAGGAAGCCCACTAAGAATCGTAATAAAAGCATTTAAAATAAATACCATACACAGTTGAGGAAACGTTGGTTTAAGTACCTGATATGAAGTGGTCGCTGCATAAGCCAAAACCTTTACTCTCGGGGTCCCACAGTTTCATTTTAGCCCAGTCACTAGCGCGTTTTATTACAATGATCCAACGTTTGCGGCGCTCCGGATCTTGGGGAATCCTGTAGATGGCTCATTCCTTATGTCGTCCGTGTCTGTTCTGCATCCTGGGGCACAACAGGAATTTACCATATTTCCCGTTTGATTGAGTTTTCTGACAATAACAAATAGTCCAGCTGCGGGCTTCTACCTGCCAATATGGCGCAGTTTCGATTTGAACTGTTGCATGCCGGGAGAAGTGACGTCAACTCCCGGAGCTCTATAGCTTCTGTCGATCACAATTCGACAACGGATTATGAACGAATGGATAACGCTCAAAACGCGCTGATTCTTCCTGATGTAAGAAGTGAGTCTACTCTTTGTTTTGGCGTTGACATCATCATAGAGCGCAACACTCTGTGAGTCTTAAAAAAAACTGTGAAAACGCTGGCAGCGAAGGGATTTTCTGATCAGGAAACGGCTGGCAGTGAATGAGTTAATAATTGGCTTTAGGCATCGGCAACCAAATTCATTAAATGTCGGTATCGGCATTGAACTTAAAAAAACATGTTGGTCGGCCTCTAATATTGACTATTCTAACCTACCTGTTGATATTTTATATTTTAATTTATTTTGTTTATTTATATTCATATTTTAATTATCATGCCATACCATGTGTCTGATTTCATGAAAAAGCATAAAAAATGTGTTTTTTAGTTGGGTAAGCACCTTCCTCAGTAGAAATGAATGCACTAAGGGTGAATGGAGACCCATCTAAGATGGCAGCCGGCCACTACGGCAGCTCCAATAGGCAGCGCCAGTCAACGGGCCGTCTACGTATTTGTCTGTGGTAGCCGACGCCAAGGTATTTTGCTGCCTTCTTTACATGGTCCCAAATTCCTAAATGTCACAGTGGTTCATGCAAAGGTTATTTTGTAAAACTTTGCACCAATATCAAACTTTTAAAAAATGGTTTCTTAAAATATCACCAGCAGCGCAGTCACTTAAGCCACTGCTGAATCTAGACAAACCATAGCAGCATAGCTTAAGGAAAAAGGGATCTAAGACACTCGGGAGAAAGAAAATGGGTTAAAAGCCTTTATTGTCACATGGCTAATCCAATAAAAATCCTGTTGACTAGTTTCAGCTGCACTGGCCTTCGTCAGGACGAAACTTTTGCCGTTTAAACCGTAGCCGGCGCAAAACATTTTGCTCTGCAGGTGGATCTGCATGGCGGTCTATTGAAAAGGTTTTGGCATCAACTTCAGATGACTTGGACTTTTATGTGACACTTGAGCAGATATAGCTTTAATCACAAAAATTATGTACTTATATATTCTTCGATGGTGTATGGCAGCACTATTGACCGTATCGATGAATACATCTAATTGTTTCTTGCGCTGATTGGTCGTAGCACTGTCCAACTGCGTGTGGTGACAGTTTGAAAGACAACCATAGTCGTCGTCTTCCTCCGCTTATCCGGGTCGCGGGGGCAGCATCCCAACTAGGGAGCTCCAGATCATCCTCTCCCCGGCCTTCTCCACCAGCTCCTCCGGCAGGACCCCAAGGCGTTCCCGGACCAGATTGGAGATGTATCCTCTCCAACGTGTCCTGGGTCGACCCGGGGGCCTCCTGCCGGCAGGACATGCCTGAAACACCTCCCCGGGGAGGCGTCCAGGAGGCATCCTGGCCAGATGCCCAATCCACCTCAACTGGCTCCTTTCGATCCAGAGGAGCAGCGGTTCTACTCAGAGTCCCTCCCGAATGGCCAAGCTCCTCACCCTATCTCTAAGGCTGAGCCCGGTCACCCTACGGAGGAAACTCATTTCGGCCGCTTGTATCCGCGATCCCGTTCTTTCGGTCATTACCCAAAGCTCATGAGCATAGGTTAGGATTGGGACGTAGATCGACCGGTAAATCGAGAGCCTGGCTTTCTGGCTCAGCTACCTCTTCACCATGACAAATTGGCTCAGCGTCTGCATCACTGCAGATGCCAAACCAATCCGCCTGTCAATCTCCCGATTCCTCCTACCCTCACTCGTGAACAAGACCCCGAGATACTTAAACTCCTCCACTTGAGGTAGGACCTCTCCCCCGACCCGGAGTTGGCGAGCCACCCTTTTCTGGTCGAGAACCATGGTCTCAGATTTGGAGGTGCTGATCCTCATCCCAGCCGCTTCACACTCGGCCGCGAACCTACCCAGCAAGAGCTGAAGGTCAGAGCTGGATGAAGCTAGGAGGACCACATCATCCGCAAAAAGCAGAGACGAGATTCTCCTGCCACCAAACTCAACACACTCCACACCACGGCTGCGCCTAGAAATTTTGTCCATAAAGGTAATGAACAGAACCGGTGACAAAGGGCAGCCCTGACGGAGTCCAACCCTTACTGGGAACAGGTCCGACTTACTACCGGCTATGCGGACCAAACTCAAGCTCCTCTGGTATAGGGACTGAATGGCCCTTAACAGAAAGCCACCCACCCTACTCCTGGAGCGTCCCCCACAGGGTGCCCCTGGGGACACAGTCATAAGCCTTCTCCAAATCCACAAAACACATGTGGATTGGTTGGGCCAACTCCCATGCCCCCTCCATCACCCTTGCAAGGGTATAGAGCTGGTCCACAGTTCCACGACCAGGACGAAAACAACATTGCTCCTCCTGAATCTGAGATTCAACTGGACAACCATAGATTTCGCCTAACGGCAGAACTGTCTATGGGTTTTTTGTCAGACTATATATATTTAAATACATGCTTGACAGTCTAGTGAAACACAGGACTTCCCTATCATCCAGGGTTAAAGTTCAGCAGGAAATTTGAATTTATATACATATAAGGATGTAATTCTGAGGTGACAGCAGGGTATACAGTAGGTTTATAAAAGAACATGTGTCAAATGCTTTGAAATCTTTTGGAAATTGGAGCCATTTTAATACAGCAGTAACATAACTTGGTTCCTCAAGATTTAGATAAAGTGCTAAAAATGCCCTAAACTCTATTTCTCCCAACTGAGACCACCCTGCAAGTATTAGCAAGTAATATTTAAAACTTTTCCACAGAAAAACACACTAAAAGGACTGAAAAATTCCTTTAAGTTGACACATTCCAAGCCAAACTTGGATTGCTTCCACTTTGATCCACCTCCCAGAACTGACCGGTCAACATGCATTAGGACAACAGAAATGAAATAAGCTTCAGTCAAACTCAGACTTTCACAAATAAAACAATCAGCTCCAGAAAGAAAGAAAGAAGACTTGGGCTTCAACTGAACAGTCTTCTTCGTTCGGATAAGAAACAAAGAAGTGGGTTTTGAGGGTTAATACACAAAGAATTCTACCTGTAGGGCGGGGCGGGGCTGATTGCTACACAACATTTGTCAAAAGGTGCATGAACCGTCGGTTCTTCTCAATAAGGTGCAGAGACCACTCATCATTTGTGAAAGGTGCAAAGATCAACTCAAACTCTTCAGTAGAAATCTTTTACAATTTTTGAAATTGAGTTGTGATGGACTAATTCCTATAACACGTCTGCACATGGGATCTGCATTATCCAACACACACTCACAGATAGTACCATTAAAAGCTGTTTACATTAACATCTCTTGACATTAATGAACTCTTACTTCTGATGAAAAGGCACATCCTATTCTCCAACAATAATTACGAATTGTTCAAAATATTTGTTATACAGACAAATTTAGATCCAATCATTCGAACATTTTAGAAGTTAACTTCAGATTTGTAAGCCAATGTTTTATCAAAGGAGGTGAACATTGCAGGTGAGCAACCTAATGAAAAGAAGAATCGCAAAGACAGTCAAGCCAACTAATAAAGTCCTATTGTTCCTTTTAGGCTGGTGAACAGAAGATGAAATGCACCAAAATCAGCAGTTCAACTGCTCATTCCATCACTTCCATTGTAAAATAAAGATAAAAATAAATGACAGAGGTTCCTGTGATAAGACTCCTTTGTTATACTCCTGCAAAAATAGCACTTTTCCCTATTAGACAAGAACTCTTCCAAGAATATCGAGATTTTAAAACAATCCCTCTCACTCTCTCACTGCTCACGCCGGTCTAGACATGAGCGCTTGTATAAATATAAGTTGTCTTCTAAAAATATACCCACCTTTAGTTACCCCTCAATCTTCTTTACAACCATCTTTGTAAAAAGCTCTCTCACTCTTTTCAGTCCAGACAAAAACACACAAAAACGTTAGAAAACAGAGAAGAGAACCTTTCTGTGAGACGCGGCACAGTGAAATGCTCTCTCTGGTCTGGAGAAAGGTGAGGTGAGGTGAAGAATACTCACTGGGTGAATGGGGGACTTATGTATGGGGGCAGGAAGAACAAGTAGTGTTGATTTGTTTTAATAAGGTTTCTTTAGTTTCTTTCCCGAGGCTGGAGCACAAGTTGTCAGGCTTGCATAGAGAAAAATGCCAGTGACACTTACATTCATCATACTGGTCACCTCTGCCTCCAGCCTGTCCATCCATCCAGCCACCTCCTCCTCCTCAAGAGGCACTGGTAGCTCCATCTACAACCTGCACCTCAGGGAATGTATTCAACACTGTATTGCAACAGTGGATGCAAAAAAAACCCAACAAGCAACATGTAGAGGCAGAGGCCCCTTCTACACTCTCACTTCCCTCAACTAATTCAAATTTACTATTCATAAAGCAAAAATTGTAAGTTTCGGTGTCCTGGTTATGTCAAGGCGGCAGCTGTCGCCATTTGCACTGTCGAGTCAAGATGTGAGAGATCAGCGTTGGCCAAAACGTGAGGAGGCAAGCACAGCTGGGAAAACACAGGGCTGAACGGTCAAAACAATGGTCCTCCGTCTCCACCTACACCTGGCAGAGATTCACCTGACGAGCCACTGGACTCCATACCAGCACCGCTTGTGTTCTCCAGGGACCCGGGGTCGAAGCTCGGGTCCGGCCCCAGGGTGTCGTCCTCCGTCTTGACACTGTCGGGAAGGAAAGCGGAGTATGCGTCACTCTCGGCCATCAGCAGCTTCAGTTTGGGTATCCAGCTCTTACGAACCACACGCCGGGCGTTGGTGCACATGTCCGCCGCAATGGCGTTCATCTCACTCTCTTTGAAGCTGGTGGCAAAATTCTGGCAATAAACTGAAAAGAGAAAGAAAAACTCAGGCTGATGATGCTCCAATGTACATTTGGAAAATAATGTAAAATATGTAGTTTTTTCAAACCAGTAGTTTTCAGGTTCTAAGCCCCACATCTGCATTACAACCCTGATTATGTTGTTCAAGTACCGAAACATTACCAACAGACCAGTTTATAGCAGCCCTTTTGACTAGCTAGAATGGGGAATGCAAAGTGGGGCAGCAGTCGCTCAGGAGGTAGAGCGGGTTGCCTAGTGACTGGAGGATTGCGTGATCGATCCTAGCTCCCACCAGGATATTCTGCTGTTGTGTCGTTGGGAAAGACACTTTACCCAACTTACCTGCGCTGGTGGTGGTGGTCAGAGGGGTCGATGGCGCAAACAGCAGCCTCGCCTTGGTCAGACCGCCCAAGGGCGGCTGGGGCTATTTAGTAGCTTACCATCACCCGCAGGGTGTGAATGTTGGAAAGCCCTTTGAGTGCCTAGAAAAGCGCTATATAAATCAAATCCATTATTATCATTATTGATAACAAGGGTTGCATTCCACTACTAGAGCTGTACAAGCTTAGCTTCGAATTCTAGATCAACCGAAGCAGTAGCAAAAGAGTTTGCTCTGCAGGTCAGTCTAGCCACATTCCATTGAAGATTCAGCAGGTCCATCATTGGCCTGATCAAATTTGAGTGTGGCCAACCACAGCGCTCTACGCTTGTTAGGCGGGGTTAATGCTAGAGCTGCAACATAGAAAAACTACAAAGATGGTGCTGGCTCAGGAACGGTGCTCATTTGAAATAGGGCTGGCATAAACTTTGGACGATTTAGACTTTAGTTGTTTATTCAGAAAAAGGCTGTATTGGATTCTTCTTCGGTGGTGTATGGCAGACTTCCCTGTTGACCGACATCAGTGGCGGTGAGTATGTCACGTTGTTTGTTGCTCCGATTGATTTTAGTGCTGTCCAACTAGCGAAAGACAACCATAGATTCCCATCCATGGCTGGATGGTTTCAATGACTTGTAGCCAGACTATATGGCTTGCCTGACTAGAACAGGCTGGTTAAGCAATAAAATAAATATGCATGAATAAAAAGAAATACGAGGAATGTAAATGTGCACATTTACCCCAACTGTAAATGTCCTTTGTGGGAACAACTGAAATCAAGTGTTTGTGATCCCTGGTAATTTGAAGAATTACACACTACTTCAGCCATTTATTTGAAAAAAATGCTTTATTTGCTTCTTCGTCTTGAAGTGGTGTATGGAGGACAGTCTTGTTGACTGATTGATGTAGAGATTAATATGTCGCCTTGTTTGTTGTTGACTGGTCCTAGCACTGTCCAATGGCATGTGGAGACAGTTTGAAAGACAACCGTAGATTCCATCCAACAATCAGGTTCTTTCAATGGATCATGGCCAGATTATACATTTATACATATATAGAATGGCTTGCCATGCAAGGGGTTTCCAGCATGAACTTCCTCTCCTTCATGATTCCCTTGTAGAGAGCAGAATCCAGGAGTTAATCAGCAAATGTCCTAGGTTCCTTTACACTACCACCACCATGTTTGATTGTAGGTATGAAGTTCTTTCTCTGAAATACTTTTACTCCAGATGTAACAGGACACACATCTTTCAGAAACAGAATTTCAATGTGTGGCCTTTCAACTGAATCAAGAAAATAGCGCCACACGTTTTATTTCTTGCCTTGATGCATGTGATTTTTTTTCTTCTCCAGTGTGGTTTTGGCACATCCTCAACAATCAATGTGCAAGTGGGCAGGGCGGTTTTCATACCAAGTTCTCTGTAAAGATGTTTGATGGATTGAGAGTTTCAGTTTCTGGGGTGGAAATCATTTAAAAATAGATCTTTGCCTTCCACTTTACTTCCATAGACATTAACCAGAAGAATGATGTTAGAAGATGTCACAGAAGCCTCTGATTTTCTCACTAAACCTTTGACATTATAATGAACTTTAGCGCCGTGAACTGATTTCAGATACAGAAACATATTACTGCCTATTAATCAAATTTGTATTTCAACTTCAATCTTTGCTCCAAACGACCACAAAACAATTTAATTCAATAAAAGTAATTTTTTATTTTTATTTTGTCACATTAAGCTTTAAATATATGCTCTTATTATTTTGTCTTGCCTTTGGAATAATGCACACACACACCCCTGTTCTCAAGGCTAAACTCAAACCCAAATAAAGATAAAACACACCAGCAGTGTATGATGTGGGTCAAACAGTGTGCCTTCATCACCATCGTCAGTTTTTTAATCCTCTCATTGTGTGTGGAACAGTAACTAGTGATACATTTCTAGAAGTTCAAGTTCTAAGTGTGGACACTAAAAACCCTCTGGTTGAACCTCCAGGTTCTGACAGCAGCTCTTCTCTGCTTTTACAGCAACACTGTGTATTTTTGTGTCTGATTGATTAAACAGAAAATGCAGTTTAATTAGCTCATGTCTGCCCAAATGTCTGAATGTTACAAAAATATTTGTTTGATTTATTCTTATTTATCCCAAATAGGCCTGAACAATTATATGGTTACCTTTATTGATTCTAAAACAGAAATGATGTTGGTTTTAAAATTTGTATTCTGATGCCACTTGTTCCTGTAAATTAGTAACTTCAGACTCATTAAAGTGTAATCTCTGGATATTTCAGACTCCATGTCACTGAAACCTGTTAAGAATCAGTGTGCTTTCAAAAGTCTGTTTCTGGGGTTACTTGTTTAAAAAGGTTGTTCAACCTCCATCCTATCCTTCTTAATTCCAAAGACATTAACTTCAGTCTTGTCTTTGTTTAACTGGAAGACGTTTGATTGCATCCAGTCATTAACTTGTTCCAAACACTGACAGAGTGAGTCTAGGGGACCACAGTCTCTAGGTGATAGAGCTAGGTAGAGCTACTAGGGCTGGGCAATATGGACCAAAACTTGTATCTCAATATCTTTGAGTTTAATTCAGATTAACGATACACAAATTTTTGCCCAGCGCTTTACAACAAAACAAACCACACACCCCTCCGATGCTGTCATGAAACAGGAATGAAATCAGAACAGCCCGTGCTACTGAAGATTACCCTCACATGGGTCATGCATCGTTGAGCTATTAGGGCAAACATGACTGGAATCCAACAGTTTTGACTCATATCTTCGATCATATTGTAATGACTCAGACTCTCTGGCAGCTCTTTTATGGGTATTATTTTCGAGCTACTATCAGGCGTAACCCATGCCTTAACTCAACTTTTTTGACAGAATCGCTCATTATGAAGCATTTTCTAGCCTAACAAAGCGGCAAAAACCGGAACAACCTCTCCCACCCGCTGAACTAACCTTCAAAATAAAAGTTAACCCTAATAGTAATTTTTCTAACAGTTACAACATGTTTGAGGTAATTTGCCTGCTCAGGCTCTCCGTAGATGCTACCTGATTACATGGGGGAGGGGTTTGGCTGGTCTCCTCGCTCAGGCAGGATAAAAAGAATTCTGTTGGCAACCACGGAGAAAAGCCTTGCTGATACATGAACAAATGTCCCCAAATCATTAAAAACCAGGAAGCAAAATGCAAAGTTTAGGGCAGAACATTGACCCAGAGGTTTTCTGATTGAGCAGACTTGTGAGAATACATGTAATGACCACTTTGAGACGGAGCAAGCTAGTCACTAGCATAGCGGCTAGCGCTAGCTGCTATGCTAGCAGCCTGACCAGTTATATCGATCAGAAGTCATCTTGTTTCTTGTTTGAATCTATATCGGTATGTAGCAGGATGAAATAAGCCTGCTCCAAATTAGGTGAGTTGGTGCATACCGGCTTCCGTACTCATGAGGGCGCTGTGGGTATAAAAGCTCTGCTCCACTGTTGGAGAATGCTAAGGAATGCTAAGGAAACACTGCATTCTGGCATCAGCGGCTGTATTCAAACTGCGCCTCAGTAGGTGATCGGCTCTGCTTTGGTGGTATCTACACTACTGGCTAATCAATTAGTTTTAAGGAGATTCTTACTCAAACTGTGTTGTGCACTCAACAGCTTGGGCATTTGTTTATTTTATACTGGGCGTGACGCTGCCGCTCATCCCAGAGTGAAATGAGCATTGGAGAAGAGGTATGTAGCTCCTGCAGGGGACAGCATGTGAGTTGAACTAAACTCGGACAGGTGCTGAACATCTGTGCGCTGCCAGGCGGGGAAGCTTCCTTGCGGCCTAGATGATACTAGCGGGCAGACCGGTAGGTATGGGCCTCACCTTCTCCACACTTGGTCAAAAATATAAGTTGTTGACTTGTACCTTTTCCCTGCATTCTCTTAGATTGTGCTCTGTGGTCTGGCGGGTGACGCCGCTGTTGCATTTTACTTATTTTCTTCGATCAGTTTTCCACGCCATATCTATAGCTCACTCGTATTGTCACAGGTATTTAAAAAAAATCTATATATTGCCCAGCCCTAGCTTCTACTAATCAAGACGTTCTCTGCTGTTTCCTGGACTCTAAACCAACAACAGCCTTCCCTGCTGTGAGTCAAGATGAGTGAATCCATGATTGTTAATTGTCAGTGTGACCTAGATCTGTCAGGATTTTCTAATCCTAGAGTTTCACCATCTATTTTCTATCAGAAGGTAATGCAGGAGACCGGTGTAGAAGGCTATTTTAATGATCAGCCTGCATGACCAAAGAAATATTTAAAAAATGGCTTTTCTGTGAAGGACCTCTTTTAAAACAAACAAGTTTATAGAATGGAAAACTTTGGAAAAGCAACCATAGATCATAATAGTACACCCTTTGGAGTGAGCTCTTATTTTGACGAGCTGCACTGCAAGTGTAACATGTAAATCGTGTGAACTCACATTTGACGGCATGGAGCACTCTGTTGTCCAGGGGCTTTCGGCTCGGGTCGTTGGTGGATGATCGGATCCCCGTTCCACAGCTGTTGGCCAACGTGTTCCTGATAAAACATCAAACTAGGAATGAGTGGAAGGCAAAAATAGTTGTTTTACAAGCTAGCATAAAAATAAACTAATTTCTATATTAGAACTTTGAACTCCACATGAAAAAACAACAGAAATAGACCAAACCTGTCAAAGAAGGCAGCCAGCAGCCTCCTCAGCAGCACCTTGTGTCTGGTCCCAGCGCTCACATGACAATTCATGAGCTGCGCTCGCGAAATATACACAGAAGTACCTACAAAAGAAAGAAGCTTAAAGAATCCACTTGCAAATGCAAGTATAATCATATTCATCTCTTTGCTAAATGGCTCCTTTATTCTTGACGGGGGTTGTGCATCATGTAATAATAATGTCAGGAGCAAGAGAAACTGTTTATCCAGCAGCAACTGGGATTCAAATCATGTTACTGTGGCTGCAGCTGGTTTTTTCACATTTTAGTTTGAATTTTTGTCACATTAAAGTCTTTCTTCTCCCCCTCAAATTGTCTTTTGATTTCCTTTTACAAGTTGCATTTGGAATTTGCACCCGAATCACAGTTTCCTTATCTAACGTAAGCTATTTTATTTTTTTACTGCACAATAGCACCTGCCAGCATTATGATTTACTTGTTCTCATCTATTGCTCTTCTTCACCTTTCAAACCACACGCGCACACAAACACGCACAAACAAATGCATAAACACACTACTATAAAGTCTAACCACGCCCGCACCAAACACAAGATTATCACAGGATGTCTTTGACATAAACACACTGAGTCACGTGCAACACAATCCTGCATTTCAGTGCCAAGCCCCGTCTTCTCCTCTGAGCCGCCTCTGAGTGTGTGTGTACACATCAGTGCCATGTATCTGTTTCTGTTTAGATCTGCTGGTTTAAAGAAAATGTTTTACTCCACAGAACCAAGATTAAAACCTTCCAAGCCCAAAACAATGAAGCAAATATTTACTATTAAAATTACAACTTTCCAAAGACATTTTCGAAAAAGGTCCATCTATAAAGGAGGAGGCACAAGCTTTTGTTTTCCTAAATAAAATATTTAGGGATAAAAACAACAAAAAAGCTGGTCTAACAACGAGTTCATAAAAAGATGCATGTCTTATGGGTATAATGTGTGACTGACATTTGTAACAGTCGATTGGCAAAATGCCTGCTTTCATAAAAACTTTGAATGCAAATTAACTGCTATGTAGGTTTTTGTGGTAAATGCAGACAGTCATCTCTCAATCAAACAGAAATGTTGGTTAGCACCAAAACACTCGATGTTAGAAAGCCTGAGCAATAAGTAGATGCATCTACTTCTCAAACATGTCCATTACTTGTTTACTTTGCTTTAGGTAGAAGAAAAAGATAACTCCTTATTTAGCACCCCTCAAGAACAATATCATGAGACGCTTCACGAGAACAATTAAAATAATGATTTAAAAAGATAATAAAAATGGCAGAAAAGGAAAGATTAGGATTAAGAAATGTGAAATAAAAATGGAAAAGCAAAAGGTATGGAATCATAAAAAAGGATGAAGAAAAGGATGAACAGGAGGTCACAGAAAAGCCAGCTTGAACAGGTGGGTTTTCAGCTGCTTTTCGAAGGAGACCATCTCAGGCTCAGGGGGAGAGAGTTCCAGAGTCTGGGGGCCACAGCAGCAAATGATCTGTCACCTTTGGTCTTTAGCCTGGTGCTGCACAACCAGTAGGCTTTGGTCACTGGACCTCAGGGACCTGCTGGGAGTGTAGGGACTAAGATCACCAATGTAAGATGGTGCTTGTCCATGTAAGGCCCTATAGACCAGAACCAGGACCTTGAAATGAATCCTGAAGTTGACTGGCAGCCAGTGAAGCTGGAGGAGAAGCGGGGTGATGTGGGTGTGTTTGGAGGACTTGGTCAGAAGCCGAGCACAGGCATTCTGAACCACCTGTAGACGGTTCAGGGAGGTTCTGCTTTTGATGTAGAGTTGACTATCACCTACATGTATGAGATTACCTTAAAAGAGCCCAAGATGAGCTGGAGATGGAGCAGATAAAGGAGGAATAGTAGGCATGTTTCCATTGATGGAACTTCAGGGTAATTTCTGGGAAGGGGAACCTGAGCGGGAAATTCAACGACCTGGCCCTCTCAGCTGTTGTATCTAACAAATTCTGCCCTTTCAGGACTTTGCACAGACGTTACCATATCACGACTGAATCGGCACGAGTGATGTGACTGATAAGCGCCAAAAAGCATCCACAGTAACATTAACAACATTAAGTTTTATTCTGTTAAAATACAGCATGATAAAATCCATTTGGAGGATGAGAACAGCTGCATGATGTAAAATGTGGCATTCAGTGACCAGAAGCTTTTTTTTTCACTCTGTGAGACAACAAAGCCCTGAAAATCATGTTTTTGTGGGGAAATATCCACTGTGCTTTTCAGTGTTGAGAATTTAGTAACGGCGATTTTAAAGCAGTGCGATTGGTGCTTATTTTCTTTTGCTACACAATCAACTCTTCTAATTTTACTGTTGCCGGTTGTTTTGGACAATGTCTGCTGATGTTATTTCCTGCTCAGTTACAATCAATCAGTGTGAGTTAACTAAAAGTTCTACACAGCTACTCAACCTGACCATTCCAAGTACCTACCCCTGTTCAGGTCCTCCCAAACTTCCTGAACATAGTCCGGAAAATGACCTGTTCGGCTGGCCCGATTAGGTGGACACACTCACATGTCAGAATGTTCCGGTAGTGGAAACATGCCTAATAAAGGCCTCAGCACAGGAGATATGAAAAGTTTAAAAGGCACTTTGCTTCCAAATTTGAAGAAAATATTGAAGGAAGTCAATGGGAGTGTGGATGTGCACACTCTCCACTTTAAAGGGATTTAAAAACAAACGTTTTGTCCTATAAACATGAGATCTGCATAAGTCGGTCTCAATAAGAAATAAATCAATTAATTCCACAATAAATTAGAATGAGCTTGATTATTTTCATTTCCACGCCTATTTGTTTTTCTTCTCTCTCTCTCTCTTTCTACCAAAGACAAAAGGATTCACTCCAGTGCATCAGAGCGCACTAACCTCTCCCCTTCTCACTTCCTTATGCAATGAGGAACTAATCTTCACACCAGTTACTTGCCAGGTACAAGATCTCACCAAGTGTTTTCCTCCCCAGAAGAAGCTACAATGGTGTTCTGCTGAGCTGTGATGGCCTCATGGAGGGGGCGGCCATCGGCTCACACACTGCTGCTAACCATTGAACGCTCTCCCTCTCCTGATAATAACATTTTACTTTCTTTAACATAGAATGTGGTACTACTAGGTCACCTGTAGAATTAATTATAGATTTACTAAGATTTAGACACTAAATTGTATATCTTACTAAATAGAATATTTACTAAGATATCACAATGTAGCCATAGAAACACTACTTGGTATATGTTGTGTCTATATGTATATGTATACTAATTGAATTTGTTTTCTACACTTTGAAGTTCAGTAAGAGAGTCAAACTGTGTTTTATCTACTTAAGCCGGGCGTACACTGTGCGACTTTTTCACTCGCAGCGTTCAGCTTCAGCTCAAACTGTACGTCTTCCTCACAGAGCAGATCTCACGAGTCATGTGCTCACACTGCACGACCCAGTTCTCGCATGCGACCTGACTGCTCACACTGTACGTCTGGTAGCAACACGTCGGCCCTAAAAATGTGCTAAAAATAGCAGTTTTTACTCAACACGTCAGACTTTTTTGTCTTGCCTGTTGTCCTTCGGGAGTGCTGCAGGAGGACACACAAGGATTTATGGGGGATGGATGAGGAAAACGAAATAAAGAAAGTGAATCTGTGTTTAGTGATCAGTTTCATTTGACATGAACACAACAAACACGCTTTCTTGACAATCTTTGTGAGTAAAAAAAACGTGTAGAAACAAAAACGAACAGCATGTGTTATTAGGGAAATAGCGAGCGACCGGCGTTGATGCAGGATTGCGCGCGCATGCGCCGTGAGCGGTTCTGATACTTTTTTGGATCGTAGCTGCTAGCAGCTGCTCGCAGCGCCGCTTCAACACTGCGATACCCTCACGAGGGACGAGCGAAATATTAAACACACCAGAAGTCCCTGCGACCTCACGACTGCTGATCGGCGGCTGGTCACGTGGTGTTAATCGCCTCTCGTAACCCCCTGTACACTACACGACCGCTCGGCGCAAAACTCGCCCCGATGTCGTGGCTTCTCGCACGACTGGAAAATCAGCTCAAAAAAGTGAAAAAGTCTCACAGTGTACGCCCGGCTTTACAATTCAATTCAATTTTATTTATATAGCGCCAATGTTTCCTATATAAGGAACCCAGCAAATTGCATCAAGTCACTAACTAGTGTCAGTGACTTTATTGCAATCCTCATACTAAGCAAGCATTTAGCGACAGTGGACAGGAAAACTCCCTTTTAACAGGAAGAGACATCCAGAGGATCCTGGCTCATTATAAGCAGCCATCCTCCACTGCACTCTATATATTTTAAAAGAACCTGAGATGATCTCTGAAGGCTCTGCTGCTTCTCCTAAGTGTATATAAACAAACACACACACACACACGCACACGCACACGCACACACACACACACCAAGTAATGTGTCTATGGCTACATCGTGATTTCTTAGTAAATATTCTATTTGGCGAGAGATAAACTTTATTGTATTTATCCTAGTGAATCTATAATTAAACGGATAAACTAGTATTAGCACGTCCAACGTCAAGGAAAGCAAAAAGTTATTATCAGGAGAGGGAGAATGTTTAAGTAGTCAGCAGCAGTGTGCTAGACGATGGCCTCCTCCATGAGGCCACCACAGCTCAGCAGAACGACGTTGTAGCTTCTTCTGGGGAGAAAAACACTTAGAGAAAAAATAAAGTTAACAGCTGAAATTGCAGAAAATAGTACAGTTAAAGAGCAGACTGTAGAATAAAGCAGTAGAGTGTGAAAAGTGGTCAGTGTGTCCTCCAGCAGTCTAAGCCTATAGCAGCATAACTACAGAGATAACTCTGGATAATCTATCCTATTTAGATGGAGGCATGTTGGAGGCAGGGCAAGAGAGAGCCGTCTTTACCGACTGTACACTCCACCTCCCTCTACTCCCCCACTTGTCCAGATCTGGGCTAACATCAGATTTTAACCATAGGCCCCATCAAATAAAAAATGTTTTAAGCCTATTCTTAAAAGTAGACGAGGTGTCTGCCTCACGGACTAAAGCTGGGAGCTGGTTCCACA